AATCGGCCTCCTCAAGTGCTTTTTCCTCGGTCTTCCAAGAGTTTATTTGATTTCAATCGAGTGGAAGTATGCAGCTGCCGAGTATCCAATGAACAGGGGATCCCAGCCTTGCGTGAACGCCCTTTGTTGTCGTTCAACAACCTCTTTAGCTTGGACTGACGGTACCAGCATCGGAATATTCATTCCCAAAGTCATGCGCCTCACCGTGGGGAACTTTGGGAAGGTGGCGCTAACACATACCGCTCTAGAATCATCTTTAGCTCTTTTCTCATCAACTCAGGGGCTCCGTCCAAATCGGTATCCCTTAAACTTCTCTGTTCTATTTCCCTAAGGGGTTTAAGCTCCAGAACTTTTGATGGGCCACGATCGAGTCTTTTCGTTTTCAATCCATTCTGCATTGTAACTGGCCTCTAAAACTCAACACCATCAACTAGGGATCCTTAACAATCCCAAATGACACTGCCTCGCTCAAATGCGTTCTCAAATATTCTTGCTTGCACCAGTTTGGTGCTGTTCTATCCAAAATGCTGATCAAGCTCACTTACACGACCGAGTCACGGTACACCCTTATCAAAGGATCGGAGAAGGCATCAGTTACTGTAGGTCGATAGACGCAGGCCACCACTTCCCCTATTCCTCTGACCACTCCTAGGGGATCCGATCGCATTGCCAAGCATAGATCCGTCAGAAGTGTTAGGTTAATTTTTACTCAAAGAAAGTGTATGAACTCCTCTTTGTTTTTGAGTCGATTCGTTTTCCTACAGAGGAACTAAAAGAAACACAAACCACAACCTGGATTGGAAATCATGTTTTAATTTCAGTCTCTATATCATCGAATCTGACCAATAAACCCATCTTTTTGTACAACGAGGATTCACAGAAATTATTAAATGATTTTGTAAGCAAGCTAGAAGCTGCTGATGAGAACAAAATATCAAGATATTGAAGTAGCTGTCAATGAAATAATGAAAAAAAATTGACCAGCTAAGAAAACGAGGTAAAAATTTTTCAATTAAAATTTTGCGTACGAAGAAGAATTCATTGAAGATTTGGAAGAAACAGATATGTCAACACAATACTTTGCCTGTTTTTGTATTTAACAGCGGTAGGTTTTGAATTTGATCAAGTCCTACCTAGTCCCTTATTTGATTCGCGATATAGAACAAAGAGCATCAGTCAGCAAAAAATCGAATGACTTTACATTTTTCAGTTTGGAGATGAACAATTTCTCAACAATATGAACTTTCTCGGTGGGGCAACTACTCGAGACTTTTTTCTAAAAAGCTATAAAGCTAGCAAACTGAGACAGAGCGTTTTCAGTTCGCTAGCTTTAGTTTTATCATACCAAGGAGATAGATCTGTTAAAACTTGGATGTACTCTTACGAATCTAGCAAACATATGTCTGCACATATTTATAAATTACAAGCTTTACCAATTTTGCGAAAGCGATAAAGGTTTGTTTGAAAAAATTCGAGTAGACATGACCTGTGGTTCTTCGATTGTGTTTACCCGAAAGACTGTAGTTGATGAAACATTCATCAAAAACTCAAAAAAACTCAACAAATATATGTGAAACGATCGTCGTTGATGAACCAATTTTTTTTTTTCTCAATGTGTCAAGATATGCGACAGGACTGTACACGAGATGGGAGTTTGACACCGAAATGCAGAGGTTTGCTTTCAGGTGCAGAGGAAGCAAGATATAACCGATTTTGCAACTTGGACCTTATGCTTATGTCTTTTCATCAAGAAACAAGACCAGAATGAAAAATTCAGATTTTTTTCACATCTGGAAAACAGAAGAAAATTGACTGTTTTAATTCGGACGGTTATTGTGGTCACTATGAAACAGTGTTCGAAGCAATGGGAAGCAAGATATAACCGATTTTGCAACTTGGACCTTATGCTTATGTCTTTTCATCAAGAAACAAGACCAGAATGAAAAATTCAGATTTTTTTCACATCTGGAAAACAGAAGAAAATTGACTGTTTTAATTCGGACGGTTATTGTGGTCACTGTGAAACAGTGTTCGAAGCAATGGGAAGTTACTACCACTTCTGTTCCTGTCAAGAAGCTCATAACAGATCAGGATATTGATCGAGGTAATGAAAAGTGAGTGATGGATGATATGAGCTGGGAATATTCAAAAGAGACGGGATACAAATGAGAAGAACTGTGGGAGTGTGAGTGGTGAGAAAACTTCAAAACCAATGAAACCGATTCAAAACTTCAAAAACATGTCAAAAACTATACCGGAACCCACTTTCCGTACAGAAAATTTAACCCTACAGACTCCCTTGTGTCAAAATTGAAAGATGGATATCTTTTTGGCTTTGTTCATTGCAATTTAGTTGTTCCAGATAAAGTATTGTTCCAAATAAACTATCAACTTTCCACCCATTTCCAAAAACACAGAAGCTAGAAGAAACGATATCGGAGAATACATGAAAAATTATGCAATCGAAAACGCAATGTTAAAACGTCCTCAGAGAATGCTGATATCTAGTTTTAGGCTAGAAAATGGAACAGTTATAACTCTTCTGTTCAACTTTTATTTGGAACTTGTGTAGCAGTAAACCAAAATTTACCGTTTTGTTCAAAAGACTCCACGAAATTGTTTGGATAGAATTGTTCAATCAGTGGTTGATGCTATAAGAGAAAGAGATGAAAACCCTCTCTCAGGATGTGTAGCAGAAACAATGAAACTTTTGGGTAGTTCCTCGTATGGATATCAGATCATGGATAGATCCAGACCTACAATCACGAAATAACTCCATGATGAATCGACTCCTAAGGCAATCAAAAAACCAGTGTTCAAAAGACTCAATGCAGATGAGAAAGACTTGTAGAGGTGGAGTTGTTTAAACCGACCATTGAACACAGAGAACCCATCACTGTCGGATTTTTTATACTGCAGTATGCAAAACTGAGAATGTTGGAGCTGTACTAAAACTTCTTTGACAAGTTTTGTGATGTAAATAATTTTGAAGAGTTGAAATTGGACACAGACTCACTTTACTTAGTACTTGCTGAAGTAAACTTACGTGACTGTATCCAACCAGATAAGACATCTATTTGTGAAACAATGAGGGAAAATGATTGCAGAGACTCTTTCAAGGCAGATAAAAAATCTAATTTCTTTAATCGAACGTGTTGCAGTATCCATAAAAAACATAATAAACGGGAGCCGGGACTTTGCAAATAAGAATTTAGATGTAAAGAAAAACTCTGTTTTTGTACCAAGACACATTGCTTTTATGAGAACAAGTCAGATAAATAATTCAAACTCAGCAGTAAAGGTTTCAACAAACAAGTTCTAGAAGTTTCCGGAAACGAACCAAGGTCAAAGTACAGGAGAGTACTCGATGAAGCCATCAACCTAACATCTACAATTAGAGGAATCAGAACCGTAATACATATGGTGGCCACCGCACCATATGGTGGCCCCCAACAGAGCAAACAAAGAAAGGTTAGTTATTTTTATCCAAAAAGAAAAGTTCAAGATGATGGATTTCGTCCCAAACCCTTGAAATTATAAGAGCTGATGCAATCAAAAGAACCTATAAGAAGCGATGCTATGTATTAAACTTTTGTGTTCAATGCAGTGTTTTGTGGTTGTTTTTTTTCTATAAAAATGCGTTAAACTTCAAATGCGATGCAAGGATTTATATAAATTCCTTGAATTTTTTTGCTCGATAAAAACTAATTTTTTCTGAAGATTCAGTAGGTTTCACCATTGTTTCAGGAAGATAAAGCGCTGTTGTAAAAAGTAAAATCATCTAAGAAAATGAATAGTTGGACGAATTATGCCAAATGTTATCGTGTTTAAAAGTTTTTCAAAAAAAATTCATTTTTTTTAGACAAAAAAAATCAATTTCTGCCCAAAATTCTTACCATTGACTTACCATGAACCAAAAAACTAATTGCATAACCTTCATTTCACAATCTACACGTGATTAACCAATTAGCCGAAATTTTTGCGAAATTTTAGCCGATATTTCCACAATATCGAAAAAATACTTTTTTTTCTTACCATTCTCTCACACAAACCATGAAGCCTTGCGAATTCTTTTCCCTACTTTAATACATTGTAGACTCTTTATCCAATGTTAACGCATAGCTTGGAGACCGGATGTTCTCTTCCCTATCTTAAAACAAGTGGGTCTCCAAAGACGCCCCCCGCATTTTAGCCTCAACATCTACTACTCCAGTTTCTGTCAAAAAAAAACTGGTTTAAAAAGTGAAAATGATCACAGATAAATGAAATATTTTGTCAGCACAAAAAAAAGATACTGTTTCTTGACTAGAACAAATGTCTGGCTTTGAAAGAATTTTTTCAAACCCAAGTGCAGAAACATGCGTTCAAAAATGAATATTATCCCGCCTTAAAAAAACTCATCGCTAAATCTTGCATCCAGGTTTTCGGAAATTTGTATAGTTTAGAGGATACTTTATTTTGTACATGAATATTAGTTTTAAATTTTTCAATTTTCTTCAATTTGTTTGGATTTACTTTGATTTTACAGGTTTACTTAGGAGTTGTGGCACGGTTATAAACAAGGGAGAACAACTCCTACCTCACTGATTTCACATTTCTTGTCATTCCCTGTCCAAATCCCACTCGCCTGTGGGCATTCCATTTATCACCTAACCCTCAAACTTAATATCAAGTAAACGGGGGGATGTAAGAAGAGAAGGGTCAAAAGAGGGGGCGGGGTAAAAGATTTAGGCACCCATCGCTAACTCGCTAATTCATCGCAATTGTCGGATTTCCATCAACGAATCAGTGCTAATTCGGCACTGAAATTTGCGATTTGTTTAACTTTTGCGATTTGTTTGCAGGTGAGGTCTAGCGTAAAACACTTGATGTCTATCACTTTTTTTCAAATATCTATCGCTAAATCACTGTGCGAAATCAATCCGGGAATTTTTTAATCGTTAACTATACTTAGATCAAAAATCTAACCGGACTACTGTGTAACCATCATTCTGTTTCAGATTTTGAACTGCGCCAAAACAGCACAGAAATAAAAAGCGAACTAGCACCGACAAAAGAACAGCTTGAAGTTGTTGAGAATTGTCTATGCCGAGCACAATTGCTTATGTTTGACGAATATGGCTCGAGTCAGAACAGCGAAGTGAAGTATGGCATTATAATTTTGATTTTTAGTTGACATTGCAAAATTTTTCGCGCTTAATTTTTAGTTTCAAGCTTTTCATTTGAAAAACGAATTACACTATTTCTGGTAGGACAAACATTTTCAGGTTCTTCAAACTTTTTCTAGGTTCCGCAAACATTTTTTTAGCTTCCACAAAAACCATAGCTGATGAGTGGTAGAGTTGCATCCTTAATCATGTATCTCTTTCCACGTTTGAATTTCTTTTCAGGCGTGGTCGAAAAACTTAAGAATGATTGAATTGAGACGTTCGTGATGTAGAAGCAATCTTTTGTTCAACTAGACCACAGCCCTGATGGTGTCCAATTTTGATTGATCCCTGTTGATTTACAAAAATTGGCTTCCTTAGTTTTCTTAAGTCTTGAAAAATGTTCCATCCTCAACGTTGTCAGTTTGTTATGTTATCTAATGTAACCATATAAAAAAGAATGCTTTGCACTTCCCGAGTTTTGGGTTATCAAAGTTGCAAGATAATTCGAAAACTATCAAATTGCAACTAAAATCAAAAAAATTTTCCTATTTGAAATTAAAAAAAGTCCTGCAAAATCCTGTTGTAAATCTTAGTTTGGTCAGTTGAGATCTGGCGAACGTTTTGAAGACTTGAGCAGTTTAATAGCCTTTAGATTTTCTTCATCCGCTGAGCACGACCTGCAAGACTGGTACATATTGATCATTTCTCTCACAGCTTCCCTCAGAAATCACAGCTTCCCTCAATCATGACAGAATGGCTACCCCACTCTCGACCACAATGCAGTCAATGATGATTGCGGCTTCGTCCAAGAACGTGGCCAGATAGCTGCCTCGTCTCGAAAATCTTTCTCTGTCGTCAGTTCGTCCCATAGATCAGCTTCCAGAATGTTTTAATTATCTTCCTCTCGAGAAGAATTTTTTGGTGTTCAATTATGAAAAATCAACGTAAAACTCGACCAAAAATGTAATGAAGAGTGTTGCTGTTACAACTGAACGAAACATGAAGGTTGAAACATTCATCGGATTATTTTGGAAATTAATTTTGCGTGTCGTGTTCAGCGGATGGAGACAATCTAAAGGCTACTAAACTGCTCAAAATTTCAAAACGTTCACCAGATCTCAGCTGACCAAACTAAGAGTTACAACAGGATATTGCAGGACTTTTTTTTATTTCAAGCGGAAAAACTTTTTTGATTCTAGTAGCAATTGATAGTTTTCAAATCATCTTGCAACTTTGGAAATCCGACCCTCGGGAAGTGAGAAAACATTTTTTTAATAAAAATACAATAGTTAACATAACAAACTGACAAGGTTGAGGATAAAACAATTTTCAAGGTTTAAGAAAGCTAATGCAACCAATTTTTGTAAATAAAGAAGGATCAATCAAAATTGGACACCACCAAATATGACTAAATAATTTTTTAGCTACAGTTCATTGTTATTGTATACATTTTTCATCTGTGACAGGTTTTTCTTTTAAATAAGAAAAAATTCAAAACATTTTTTTGGGTTTTTATCAACATTTATTTGGTACACAAAAAAAGTACAATCAATGCTTTATTCTAATGACCGATCTTGTTGATTTTAAGGCTTTGATCGTAGTGGAAACGCAACATCTAAGACCCAAGTTGGCTAAAAAATATTAAAAATTGATTTCAAAAATTGGCGTCTCTGGTTATCCAACAGTTTAAATATTGAATTCAATCATTAAGAACAAGCCAGTATAAAATTTAATAAGGTAATCTCATGATTGAAATATTTCTCTTCGTGGAGCACGGAATTTTATGTTCCGCTACACTCTTTGAAGAAGGATCAGCATTGCATATTGTTCAGTTCCGAGAACCTAAAAATTACTCAGCTGGCCGACAGTTATCGGTTTACTTCGCTAAACGCTAATCTCAGATCAACTTGCGAAATCATCAGTTTTGTAGAGAGTTATAGAAAAAATTCTCTGCTTAAAAAAAAACCCGAAATTGAATGCAAACCCGCCCACAACTTCCATGGCGAGCCAGTAGATGTTCGAAGATGCACTAACGAGTTTGACTTTGTACGGAATAGTATCGAAACTATTGAAGAATATCTTGCACACTCTAGAGGTTTGGCATTCCTTCCAGTTATAACAAGTATTCCCGAACATATGTTGTCATGGATATCTTCAAGTTTGGCTGCGAAACAAATTAAAGTTGATCGTTGTGAAAGTTTGTATAACAAAACTCTTGATACAACCCTGAAAACTTTGCCCTCTGTTTATTTTTTTGATATTCAGGGGCTTGAAGGCGTAGAGTTTGCTGTAGCTGTGATTTTGCTTTATGACAGTGGATATGGAGATGGTCGAGCGCAGCTTTTTTTTCATAATATTATTACCCGTGCATGCACAAAACTAGTTTTTGTTAAAGCTGCAGAGAAAAAATTGGAAAAACGAGAGCGAACGAAACTAATTAATTTAGCTCTTGAAGAAAAATTAAAATTAGAGCTCGAAGGAATGGAACCCAGCTCAATCTTGTTTTTGGTTGGAACCAATTTTGAATTCAGTTTTGTTACACCTATTTCACAATCGAAATTAAAGGAACGAAATATCTGTTTGCCGAAGATTGAAGGAGTTCAACACTTTGAAGGGCCCAACGATGTCATAATTCTCCAGAAAGAAGACCTGTATAGAAAGAAAGATGTGAAAGCATTGATTACAGCTGGAATGAAATCAATTATAATTGTCGGTGGAAAATTTTTTAGAGACTTGCAAAAAAGGTTTTACTTCTATACTGATTCTGTTCTTAGTAGCCAGTTGTACTCTGGACAATTTCAAATCGCAAATTTTACTTACATCTATGATACTGATGGTGGTTTTTCATCTCATCTCGACCGTTTTCTTACCGAAACAGACAGTAAAAAAACTGGTGAATTGCAAACTCTGAGCGGAATTGACGAAGATTCTGAAGTTGACGAGCTGCTTTGTTCGAACGAGCCGTACTTTAAGTGGAAGAACTGGAAACAAAAAGCCAGTGAGTCTAGTCGATTGCTTTTGCCAAGCTCTCTTGTCTCAAATTTATACTCAAATGTTGAAGCATTATTGAACAACGAGCAACGAAATTACTATCTTAGTCCAGCACCTAATACTGTTTCATTTTCACAGTATCGAAAAGTTTTGGTCAAGATATCTAACAGTTTACTGAAACTATATTCGAGTGAAATTTCAAAACCAAGTTATATCTTAAAAAACTTAAATGTAGCGCCTGACGAAGTTTATTCCTTCCAATGGTTTGCTTTTGAAGCACTTAGTAGAGCTGAAAAGGTAATCGAATTTCACCCGCTTCGTGTTAAAACTTTCCATAGAATTTACCGAGTGATCAAAATTGTGCAAGCCAAACAAAAGAAGGATGTTCAAGCAAAACAAGTAGTGTCAGAAGATGATTTACGATCAGGATTACGACATCTTGAAAAAATTGAAAATTTTCCAGATCGAATTTTGTCGCAAATTTATGATCTGTATTTGTTTCAACGGGAACATTATGAAGATGAAATTATTTTAAATAAAAAAAATGCAAAACAGGAACAAATAGTCCAGAATGTTTGCGAACTGTCGACACTTTTTCTTGCTCATATCAAAAAAATGGAAGTTGAAGAAGAATCAATTCAAACTCGTTTAGAATCATTTCAAATTATTTTGAGGTTCGTAATTCACCGACCTATTCGATTTGCTCTGGAAGCATTAGAGTGGAATCCGACTCATAAACCAGCGCTGGAGGCACTGAACGAATCATTCTCCTTCTTTGCTACTATACTTAACGAAATTTACAACATAGCTTCAAAAATCGAGAAAAGAGAGACTTTAAATGGAAACAGATTTCAAGATCACTTTCTAGACTTCTGTTCTCTGATCAACAATGAACAGCTTCTCAAAGTGCCATTACTTTGAACTCGAAGTCCCATTTTCTACAAAAAAAAACACAGAAACTAGTTTGAAAAATACAGCGCATTTTCCTTACATTCGTTTTTACTCGGAAATATTAAGTTTATATAAAACTGCTCATAATTAACACTTACATAAATTTGGTTAGAAAAAAGTTTTCTTAAGATAACGGCTGTATTTTAAAAGCTGTTAAGATTGCCCAACCATCCATTCATCTGAGAACGCACAGAAAACGTTGATTTGCACTGACTGCCATATAAAGGTACAAATCAAAGTTTAAAAATGAAGCCAGAATAAAGAGTATATACGTGAGAGCTATCGAAATGGGGGAATGGGATGGGTCTTATTGTGGGGTTGAAAATGAAGCGCGAAAATGAAGGGTTGAAAAAATCAGTGTCTATCAAATTCATTTGATTGCTTTTCTGGAACATATTAGAAGTTGTCAGCGCTAAATTTGAGAACCCGGTTAATTTGTTATAAAGCTCCTTTTTTCATTTTTTTAACCACTTTCAAGATAATTAACATTTCTTTCCTCAGGTAAAATCAGTTTCAAACACAAGATTATATCTTGATTAAGCCGACAAATACGGCTAAAATAGTTTTGATAAAAAGATGTTTTATATAAAATACCTGCTGTTATTTAATGCTGTTAAAAATCCGCATCTCTCCGCTCACTGCGTGAGAGTATAAAAAAGGCTAAATTACACTGAAAGCCCTGTATATTTCAATTCAAAACTCAAACAATAAGCAAGATGGGTACGCACGTGCGAACGCTCAAAGTGAAAGGGATGGAGAAGTGGTGGGGTTGAAAATGAAGAGCTATCATTTTATGTAATTAAAATTTAATTTTTCGCTTTTTAAAACTTTTTGTCAGTTTGAAAAACAAGGTTGTTTTGTCTTGAATAAACTAACAAAAATAGCAAAAACATAAACTCACTATAAACACCCAACTTTGTGCGCCGCAGGTAAATTTTTGAAAAAAAAAGCTAAAAGGCGGCTTTTCTTCTCTTTATGGACAATTTTGACCTTGTGCTCGCCTCAAAAGTAGCATAAGTTGGCGTCAAGTTGTTTCTGGAAAAAAATTAGTGTCGGTTGGCCAAATATTGTCCTAAAATGATAGTAAAGGTGGACTCTTTTGAGGTCAAACCTCTGAGGTGAAGATGTACGGATTGCCACGGCTCTAAAAGAACCAAATCAACGGTTAAGTGTTTGAAAATTTTGTACCTAGTTACGAATCCCCCGCCTATCTTCTGCAAAAGGGGAAAAGTTAAAAGATCAATTTTTCTTATAAACAATATAAAGCGAACGAGACAGTACATTCTTTGAATATAGGCATTTAAAACTGAGAAAGCGGTCTAAAATAACTTTGACTCGAAACACTCC